TGTAAATTGTTGAGCTTGAGGAGTGATTGTGATTTGGGCCGGGGGGGCAATGGGCTAGCTTTTATAAAGCACTGATTGTTAATTCAATGAATCTCATGAACAAAATACTCGTAAGGCTTCTATCTAAAACAAATTGGAGAAGATTACTTAACATTGTGGATATATTTACAAATTATATAAATAAGAAATTTTTTTTAAAGAAGCTAAGACAGTCAAACATATAATTGTATATAAAACCATAACTTTAAATTCAACTGTTAAATTAAACTTAAATTTTATTAAATGATTTTATAACCCCATTGCTATAAGAGGGGTCAATTCTTTATAAATAGTCAAGATCTAAAAAGCCATTAAATTAGACCTAAAAGATTATTATTATTTTTCTATTTTAATTATTTTCCTAGTTAACTTTATATTTTAATTACTTTTAATACTTTTTTTTCAGTTTAGTTTTAACCCTTATATAAATATAAATAATTAATAACTAATTTTTTTTGTCTCATTATTGAATTTCAGAATTTTTAGAAAATGTTTGAGTTTTCTCTACCTATTTCTCTATAATTTAGTGTTGTCAGCTTAAGGTTGAAAATTTATTTTTATTTTCATTATAATTTACTCAAAGTAAATAACAAACAACTAAAATGAAAGGCAAAAACATTATGGTCATAGACTAGGTTTACTATTCATCGCTATAATGTAAAAATATTTTTTTCTTTTCTAGAAAAAAAATCAATGAACTTGTATTTAGAGGTAAGATGGTCTTTTGCATATGGTTCGTTAATCATTATAAAATTAATTGATGACAACTAATTCTTTTCACTATTTTTAGCACAGTGTAATTATTGAATTATCTTTTAAAAAAAAAAATTATTAAGCTGCCATCAAGGTTATTTTTGTTTTTTATTTTTATTTGCACAGTAAAATGATAATTATACTCTTGAAAAACAAAAAAGAATAAACCATCAACCATGAACTATTTTTTCCCTTTAACTTTTTTTTTGGTTTGTTATATTTACGTTTGTAAAGAGGCAATCTTATCTTTTAATAAATAAAAAATATAAAAAAATTGTTAATGCATGTATAACACGAGTTAGGGACTCTCCTGCCTTTAGTTTGCGTGTCTAGAGTCTTTCAATGGTTAATGACAATCTTTCTTAATATGGTTAGGTTTATCTTGGTGGTCCCCTCCTTTTTACAGCAGCGTGTGTGTTGTCTTGAGCTTTGGTTTGACATCAATGGACTGTTTTTTTTTTTTTCCTCTCCACCTCGCTTTCCTCACGTGGCACTTGAAAATTTTAAACCAATTCTTCAATTTGGTTTTTTTTTAATTTAATTTTTATTTTTTTAATTCAAAATGGTTTATAGGATTATAATTTTTTTGAATTTCATCATCTTTTAATTTTTTTATTTATAAAAATTTGGTTCTTATTCTTTTGATTTTTATTAATTTGTTTTAGATAATTTTTTAAATTAAAGGTTTTTTTTTACAATCTCATCCTCCTTTAATTAAATCTCTTATGTGATTTAACCCTCATTATTTTCTTGCAATTCTATTTGTTTTGGAATATTTTTTTAATTTAATTTTTTTGATGATTTAATCTTTTAATATTAAATTGGTTGGAAATTAAGCTTCCTAATTAAACCAAGATCTAGGATTTTATGGTTGAGAGTTTGGGGAATTAACCCAAGTTTAGGAGATTTACATGAATTTACTTCTTCTTTTTTTCAAGCTAATTTTTTTTCAGTTTCATCATGTAATATTTATTTATTCTTCATTTTAATCCTCTAATTTGTATCAGTCGTATTTTGTTCTCAATATTTTAATTGCTATAAGTTTTGTTTTGGATGATTTCTATAATTAACTTTTTTTTTACAATGTCATCCTTCAAAATATTTTCCATGTGCTTTGATCCTTCTTTTTTTTATACAATTCATTTTTGCTTTGATAATTTTTATTTAATTTATAATTTTTTTATGATTTCATCTTCCAATATTAAATTGTTTGAAAATTGAATTTTTTTATCGATCCCAGGTCTAGAATTTTATAGATTATGAGTTTAAATAATTAATTTTATTTAGAAGATTCACCCGTGTTTCCTTGTTTTTTTTAAGTAATATTTTTTTTTAGTTTCATTCTTCAATAATTATTTATTTATTTCTTAAATTTTATCTCAACTCTTTAATCGAACCTAAGGTTAGTTAAGACCTCGTTAACATATAGCTGAGAGAAAAATAAAATCACTATTTAAATACAACAACCAATTTACTCAACAAGCCACATCAACTTTTATTTATTAACACATATGATCGTTGATTAATTTTATTCAATGCATTGAGTAAGTTTTTAATCATCATTTGAAATATGTTATCACATGTTAAAAAAATAGTGATGCTTATAATTTTTTAATGCAATCTTGATTTAACCCACAACAACAGACTTAGTCTCATCTAAAGCATGCTATTAATCAATGATCGAAATATTTTTTTTATTTTCATTTACTTGCTCTCAATCACTCCATCATTTAATTAACCCACTTTTGGTTACTGTGTATAGAACTATTTATTCATTTTTTTTATTTGTAATTGCATTGGTTTTTAGTTCAGTAATTATTTTATTGCCCGTGCACTAGTGCGAGTCAAATTAAAAAAAAAAATAGATGTTTAAAAAAATATGGATAATAAATAATTATTTTTAATTTTAATTTAGAATATTCATTGTGATTTATATTTGATAATTTATTTTGTTAGAGATTGTGATAACATTACACAAAAGAAAAAAAATCATTAATGATGTCAAGTTTCCAATCAATCTAATATTAAATAATAAAATAAAAAATAAATTTTTAAAAATTATGATGATATTAATTAAACAACCAAATTATCTCCGGGCCAATTGATCAAGCCAAAAAAAACCAATGTAATATTATAAATAAAACCGTGAAGCCAAGCATTAAAACTATGATTTTAAGAGCAATAGAAGAATTGAATTTTTTAAATTTTTTTTAAAAAAAACCCTAGACCCAAACTAAGTGTTGTTTTGCCTTTAATGATATTAAAATAATTTAACCTTGCAAGTAAGTTGCAAAAAGACACTAGTAAAGTCGACCAATAAAAAAAATTGTTAATCCATAATAATTGAAGGTTTTTAGGACAAAGTGATTGACTTAGCATTTCAATCCGTAATAATTGATTCAAACAAAACCTCAAAACCTATATTAGTTTTTCTAATCCACAATCCTTAAAGAAAAAACATTAATTCAATTAAAAAGGTTAATTTTTTTAATATTGAATAAAAAAATAAAAAAAATCTCAAAATAAAAAAAATTACCAAATTAAGAAAAACAAATAGCAATGGAAAGAAATTGCATCAAATTTGAAATAAGAAAAAATAAAGGAGATTGAAATAAAAAAAATAAAATAAAAAAATAATGAAAGAAGAAAAACAATAAAAAAAATGGAGAACAAATATAACATTGTTAACATTTAGATGAGGTTGAGATTGAAAATAAAATTCAATTTTAGAAATTAATTAAAATAAAACAAATAAAAATTAAAAAAAAAAAGATTAAAGCAAAGCTTAGAAACTTCAAGGGTTGATATAAAAACTTGAACCGTGACACTACTTAAAAATAATCATTAATGATTATAAATACTTCTATTTAAGTAAATAAGAGTATATTTGATAATATGGTAGTGATTGCTTTTCAAATAATTTTTCGTGTGAAAATATATGTTAATAATGTTTTTTTATTTTTAAAAAATTATTTTTAACATCGGCATATCAAAACAATCTAAAACATATAAACTATATTAAATTTTAATAAAAAAAATTAAAATTTTTAAAAATATAAGTTGAACCGTATTCCCAGACGGTTACTAAAATTTACAAAAGAAACAGCGAAGGTAATGTCCAATGCAGAATTAACATAGCAGAAAACAAAAATCCTGAGCTCTATGCTGATGATTATCTTATGCAGCACTGTTAAACTTAAATTCTTAACAATTAATATTCTATGAGTAGGATGATGGGGTACACACATGATGATGAACTCCAAAATCTTTGAAGATTTGTTCTCATCGCTACCTTTTAACTATGTTTATAGCCATGAACTAGAAATTGGCTGCACAGTTTTCGAGCATTCTTGATTAGTGCAACTCATAAAGAGCATGGTTCTGGAACGTCATATTTTTACAGAGATGCAAATTAATCACAAGGAAGTCCCACATCCGAATTATGTAAATTCTGAATGTATTCTTGTGTGATTGATTGTGCTAATCTTTTATATTTCTCTGTTCGTGAACTGCTTCAAGATTTTGCAGTTGTTTCCACAGTATTTTTCTTAGCTGCCTCGCAGATTTAATGTCAAAAAACGAAAAGAAAAGGTAAGAAGGAAGGACCTGGTTACAGACAGCAGGGGTAAGATGCTATTTTTACCTGAAAACAGCAATGGAAGAGTCAAACTGAGAATTGAATTGGTTGAGGTTGATTCTACTTTGGGCTTAAGTCTACAGCAAGATTGCTCTCAACAAATTCGCAGCAACAGTGGGTTATCCGTATTTGGTAGCATAGAACTAGAAATTTGGTTGTAGTAGATGGGTCTTTTTCAAACCAGCGACAAAACCAAGCCTAAAATGGTACAAAACAGAACCAAACATAAAGTCGAGATTTTAAACTAGCGAAGACAGAGTTTGCCGTCTCTTAAGGACCCAAAGAGTCAACACCAATCACAATTCCCCAAGCTCCTTCTCCAAATTCATTGGTGCATAGATCTCAACAACCATGACAAGGCAAGAGAATAAGTTAATAACAAAAACAAAACAAGAGTTTACGTTCTCCGATCTCTGTCTCCTGTAGGCTGTAGCCTTAAATAAAACATCACATCCTCCAAATGAACAGCGCACCAAACAGTAATAGTTTATGCTCCCTACCGTCTCCTTCCGAAAAATAGTGCTATCGCATGGCATTATTTTAAGCACATTGTTGAAGAAATCAAGTCTACGAGCTCTGTCCTCTCCAACATACACCTTTTCCGTTGTGTGTCGAGCAGAAAATGACCATTGAAGGATCAGAGCCAAACCAGGCATCAGATCACATATTGGATTGGCTAGAGGATTCAGTGTCATTCCTTCCATCTTTCTTGGATGATCCTTACAACGCAGCCGATATCAATCCCTATCAATGGTGGGAGCAAGCAGAAGAGATTTGCCAGGATCTAGCCAACACCAACACCAGTCTCAGCAGCAGCACAACCACAAGCACCACCACAAATATCAATACAACTAGCCTAATATCACCGAATAATCCCACCATATCTAATCATCCACCAACGTCCACTTCAAACAAGAAACGGAAAGATCCTGAAGACCCAGTTCCCAAAACATCCCAGAATCATAATCAGAGAAGGAATCTGAATCATCGGGTAAACAAGGAAGAGCAAGATGGTGAAGCAGTAGTTGGAGAAGTGGTGGCAGTGAAAAAATCAAATGGAAACAAGAACAGGACCAACAAGAGCACAGATAATAACTCAAATAACGGTAACAAGAAGGAAGGAAGATGGGCAGAACAGTTACTTAACCCCTGTGCAGCTGCTATTACTATTGGAAACTTGTCACGCGTGCAACACCTTCTCTATGTGCTCCATGAGCTAGCCTCCCCAACTGGCGATGCTAACCACCGGCTAGCAGCTCATGGTCTTCGAGCGCTCACACATCACCTATCATCCTCGTCAACTTTGTCCTCGGCATCCATAGGAACCGTTACTTTCGCTTCAACTGAGCCAAAGTTCTTTCAAAAAGCTTTACTCAAATTCTACGAGGTGAGTCCTTGGTTTGCCTTCCCTAATAACATTGCAAATGCCTCTATCCTTCAAGTTCTTGGACAAGAACAAGATCCCACGCGAATCCTTCATATTCTTGATATTGGGGTCTCCCATGGTGTGCAGTGGCCTACACTTCTTGAAGCCTTGACTCGCCGGCCTGGAGGACCTCCTCCTCTAGTACGCATCACAGTCATCACTGCCACCACTGAAAATGATCAAAGCACTGAGCCCCCCTTTTCAATAGGTCCGCCAGGAGACAATTTTCCCTCAAGACTACTTGGTTTTGCTAAGTTCATGAACATCAATTTGGAAATCAAGCGACTTGATGGCTACCCATTACAAAAACTTAGTGAAAGCATAATAGACGCCAAACCTGAAGAAGCCTTAATAGTTTGTGCGCAATTCAGACTCCATCATTTAAACCACAACACACCAGATGAAAGAACTGAGTTCTTGAGAGTTCTGAGAAGGTTGGAGCCCAAAGGCGTGATACTCAGCGAAAACAATATGGATTGTAGCTGCAACAGTTGTGGGGATTTTGCAACAGGATTCTCACGGAGAGTAGAGTATTTATGGAGGTTTTTGGACTCAACAAGTTCAGCTTTCAAAGGGCGAGAGAGTGAAGAAAGACGGATGATGGAAGGAGAGGGGTCAAAGGCCTTAACAAATCGTGGAGAAATGAATGAAGGGATAGATAAATGGTGCGAGAGGATGAAAGGGGTGGGATTTGTAGGCGAGATGTTTAGAGAAGATGCCATTGACGGAGCTCGTGCATTGTTGAGGAAGTATGACAGTAACTGGGAGATGAGAACGGAAGGGAAAGATGGGTGCGTGGGGCTATGGTGGAAAGGACAACCTGTTTCTTTTTGTTCATTATGGAAATTGGATATGAAAGGACGTGAAAGTTAGAAACATTACAAGTACTTTTGCTCGTCTTCTTCATATAAATGTTCCCTTTTTTTTTCATTATGTAAATTTAACGAATATAATAAAACTATATGTCAGAGGCTGGTGGTGCAGTCCTTTGTTTTTGTGTTACATAAGTGCAGCTAAAAGCCTGAAACCATTTGCTTCTTCTGGGCAAACCAACGCCAACTTAACCAGTACGCACATGAAATGTCCATGGAAGTTAAAAATCAGATATTATGGAACCTATTTGAAATTATAATTCCATGCTTCTTAGACTTCTCATCTTCCTTTCTTGTTTTCTTATCCAGTAACCATGTAAAAAACACTGACAAATTCCCCTCCAATCCAATCTCGGCCTTCCTCCCATAATAGATGGAGAATGAAGTACGGACCAGTCAATTGGTTCTCGACTGTTTTCCAAGGGGAGCGCGTTTGGGCAACGCAAACAATAACAGGTCACAAGTCACAACAGAACAGTTCTACAGCAGAAAATATGTTGTTTCTAAAGATTGTTTCCATTTCTGCAGCTAGACAACGAGCAACAGCAAAGCAAACTCACCCCCCCCACCCAAAAAAAAAAAAAAAAAAGGTGAGTTGATGAAACATTTGGCTAGACAAAAAGAAACTCACCCCCCCCACCCAAAAAAAAAAAAGAAAAAAAGAAAAAGAAAAGGTGAATTGATGAAACATTTGGCTAGACAAAAAGAAGAATGTCTTGCCGATGACAAATTGAGAACAATGAGAATTCGATGAGAAGACGGAAAAGACCCCCCCAAACCCAACAAACAACAGTATAGAAAACAAAAAAGCATTACATCTTGTACTATAATCAGCAAGACAAACATATTTAAATCACCTCGCAGTACACAGAGAAGACTTGTTCCAAACACATTAAGACCACGCACCATTGTCATTAGAACTCATCAGCATAAAATGGTAGGTCTTCAGGGTTTTTTGTTTTTTTACAAGTCATTTTGGGTTTTTCCCCGTGTAATATTATCAGCCTTGTTGGGGTGTTTAAAAGCAAGCAATATTAGACAGCGCACCATTCCGTGAAATGCTAATTAATTGAGCTAACCTTATCTACCATTGATATACCCCTAATACAGCATTTTGTTAAAAAACAGTAATTCTGTGTCCCTCAACATTCAAATATCCTGATAGAATTTCGAACTGCCTGCCTACAGAGAGGGCATTTGGGTGATACCTCACTTTCAACTGATATGGCACAGGTATGACAACATGCAAGATGCCCACAGGGAATGAAGGCAGACCGTCTTCTCCTCATCAAGCAGATCACACACAACTGCCCCTCAGGCACATCTCCAGCATCCTCGTTGTCATCAATTTGAGAGACATCTTCATCACTGGTAGTGTGGATTGGCTGCTGAGAGCGTCTTTGCCTCCACGCTTTCCATTTATTCCAGTTCCTAAAGACATTGTTTTTAATGATTATGAAGAACTACATGTGATAGCTAGAAACTTGTTTTGTACCCGTACTACGCCATGGGTCGATTTTTCAGGAAAAAAATGAATATGCAGGTTTTTCAATGCATTTTTTATTTAAAAAAAGTTTTTTAATCATAAATCAAAATGCATATATACTTATCTAACCAATTAAATCGATATTTGATTGGAAGATAACTAAGATTAAGATATTTGATCTCATAACAAAAACTATGTACTAAGTTGTGTTCAATAACCAAGTTTCTTATAATATTTTTTTTATTTAACCAATCAATTATCTATGAGAATGAAAGGTAAGAAAAAGTCTCAAACAAAAGCAAACTGAATCAAACCATAAAGCTCAACTATAAAATAACTCAATATTAAATGATGAAATTAAAAAAAACCATGGGCACATGATTGGAATAACCTCATAGAAAAAAAACCAAAAAACCAAAAAAAAAAAAGCATGAAGCACATGATTGGAATAACCTCATAGAAAGAAAAGCAAAAAACAAAAAAAAAAAAAAGCATGAATAACAACTAAAAACAAATATTGAAGGATGAATCTGAAAAAAAATAAAATTTAAAGATGAAAAAATCAAAGTAAACTAGTATTACCCTTCAAAACTCGTGAGCGTGGTCACGAGTCAGGGACTGACCGCGTAGAAAGCAAACCCAAAAAAACAACAAAGCAAAATTCTCAATGAAAAAATGTCAAGGCATGAAACTGAAAAAATAAACAAATTAAAAAGCAATAAAAAAAAACTCTAAGCCAACTCAAGTTAATGCACCAACTCCACAACCATAGGCATAGGATTTGGATAATCCTATAGAGAGAAAAGTGGGGGGGAAGCATGAAGAGCAATTCCACAAAAATCAAATATTGAATGAAGAAAAGAAAATTATAAAAGGAACAAAAAAAATATCAAAGTCAATTTGTGTTAACTTTCAAAACCTGTTGCTCAATAAAAAAATTGTTAAGAGATGAAATTGAAAAAAAAAATGCAATAAAAAAATTTCCAAAACTAAATAAACATTAGTAAAAAGAATGAGAGTCCAATTCGATATGAAAATAAAAAAAATAAATCAAATGATGAAGAATGAAATTGAAACAAAATTTAATTAGTAAAAGGATTAAATAATATCAAAAAAATAAGAACTAAATTTGTTATAAAAATCAAATGAGACCTAAGGATTAGGGATGAAATTGAAAAATATAGCAATAAAAAAATAAAGACGACATTGGATATGAAATATAACTCTCTTTGGCCAACCACTTTTTTTTTATTATTATTTTATATTTATGAAAGACCAAATTCTCCGTAAATCAACTTGATAAAAGAGAGAGAGAGAGAGGTGAGTTTTACCCCTAATCAATGTCCCAATAACTAATGTGTCCCTATAAAAGACCAAATTACCCCTCACCTCAATTTATAGGTTAGTGGCTTTTCTGCAGGGACAAAGTGGGGAAAAGAAGTATTCATTGCTACGGTACTTTCCCCACCAGGTTTTGTTCCTGTTAATTAATTGATTGTTTCTTTGGTTTCATAATTCAGCTCTAATGGATAAGCATCAGATTTTTTCCCTATTGTCAAGTGGCTAATAGAAATCCAAGTGAAAATATATGAACAAGGATGAACTCTTTGGAAGAAAATACTATACCTCATGACAGCAAAGCCAAGGACTCCAATAGAAAGTGAACCAAGAACAATACCACTCCATAGCAGTATTTTCGCCTTGAAGGCAAGATCTGCCACCATTTCATCTTTAGTCATGTCAGCCCTGCAACAACCCAGAAAAAAAGTTGTTTCATTGACAATGCCCCTATGCAAGGGGAAGATGTAGATCACGACTGTTAAGGTTTAGCATGTCTAACTACAAAACCCAACAGGCTGTGTTCCAAACTGAGTCACTTACAGAAAATACGGAAGTTCTTTGCAAGATTTTATCTCTGGAATTCCATCTTTAGAATTGCATATGCCAACAGCACTGATACACTTCCCTAATGGAAGGATTTTCTCCTCATGAAGCACCCCAACCTTCACAACAAAACAGATTATGCTATTAGACCTAGCAAGGACATCAAAAAACCAAAGAAATGCAATTACATAAATAAGGCAAAACTAAAAGCAATGTGGGTAAAAGATGCATTAAAGTCTTTGATGGAAAGATAAAGCAGCACATCTAGAATTAACAATTTTAGAACTCACAGGGTATTCATGACCAAAAAGCGCCTGAATGAATGTATAACGAGAAGCAACAATGGGTTGCAACTGATGATAAACCATCGTAAGAGGTAGGGGGTGACTTGACCCATCCATGTTCACAATAACATAATCAGATTGTGGCCATTGACCACCTTCAACAAGCGTAAAAGGAACCTATAGAAAAAAAAAAAAGTAATACATAAGGTGTTCCCTTCCCATCAAATACACCAAATAACCCACCTGACAGACACTCAGCCCACTGAACAATCAAAGAGAAGCGAAAATCTCGATAAAATGACCAAGTAAAGAGAATTGACAAGTTCAAACAATTCACCGTTCTTAAAAAGGTTGTTTCTTGTTCTTTCAAAGATCTTCCAAAGATCGATCGTAAGTCGGAAGTCCATCCAAAAAAGCCCTTCCATTCGTTGTATATACACTAGACAAACATAAACCAAAAACAAATACATTAGCCTTTCTTTCAACTTGGAAAATAATCAAGAAACAATCAACAAGACTCCCATCCAAGGCTTTCGCTTCCAGTTCCAGCAAATCAGTTTCTGTTAATCTAAACAATCACAAAAAAAGAAGAAGGTCCTAAAACAAATGCAAAATGTTTTGTCCATCATGACCAAATAATCTACTAATGACTCAATAACAATCTAGACCTCCCTGATATACACAGAATCTGTCAAACGTTAAATTTACGCCTCAAAATTTCTTTCTTTTATTTTTATTTTTTCCCTCTAAAGAAAAAAATAAAACCCACGGCAGACTACAAATTCTGGGTTGCAAAAAATAACCATAAAACATTAAATAAATAAAAGAATACGTACAGTTTGAGTTCTTTGTACAATAACAGCCTCGTCACCAGACTCGTGAGAAAGCAAAACATTAGAGTCCCTCGAGCTCTTCTTCCCGGACCCATCAACGGCTGACTTAGCCTCTACTTGTCCTCTGACAATCACGAGCTTCTGCTCCTGGTCCTGTTGGTCTTGCTCATGATTTTGAAGGAGAGAGCGGAGGTCGGAGACGGAGAGAGTGGGCGCCTTGCGAATTTCGGCAAGGGATTTGGAGTTTGCTGTAAAATTGAGAAATGAACGTACAGCGGCGTAGGCAAGAGCCGCGCCAAGAATTGCTCCGTCGAAGGAGAGAGCAAGATGGGATAGCATGGCGGCCAGTGCTTGCTCATGGGCACGTGATGCCATTTTTTTCTTCTCTTTTATGGGGTTTAGTACCTAGTTGTTCGTGTTTCTCCACTTCGTCGTTCTGGTGGTGGCAGAGGGAGGGGCACACAGAGAATGGGGAGCAGGTGGAAATGTCGTTATTGTTATTATTATTATTATTATTTTAAAAAAAGCACTCTCCCAGCAAAGTTTTGCGAATGCAGCCTAGCAATAATAAATAAATAAATAAAATAAACCACTCCAATTACAAAATGTTCCCTGGTATAATTTAATATTTTAAATAATATTAATCAAAATAATATTTATTTTTTGAGTTGTTACTAGGAAATACCCATTAAAACATGTTATTTAAAAAAAAAAACTTTTATTTTTTAATTTATGTTATTTCTAAAAACTCCTTTATTTTTCTTGTTAGACCGGGTTCTTTCCAATTTCTTTCTTATTTTTTATTTTGTTTTCTTATTGAATTATTTTTTATAAAAAAAAATTGTTGAATTAGATATATTTCTTTCCCTTCCATAAGTATTTCTTTAAACTAAGGGCATTAACATCCATGCTCTTTGTATTTTAGCTTGATTTTAGCTGAAAAACTATTTTACATTCATGTTTTCTAAAATATAGAGTATTTGTTTTATTATTTTTTTATATTCAAATTATGTAAAATATGAAAATTCATGTTTATGCTTGTCCTTCGCTTGTTAATGCCTTGCCAGATAAATCCCTATTTTCACTTCACAGTCTGCTTCAAGAAAAACGATGCTCTCTTCTTCTTTTTCCTCGTCTTCTTCTTCTCTGTTGAAGAATATTTGATCTCTTTGTGAAGTAAGTATTGGCTAGAAATAGCAACAGCACAGTTGTACCTCTTAAGAAGATTCAACAGTGATGTTCTGGTTGATGGGTCTGGGATTCAATACCAACAACCAAGCCAGATCATTGAGGATGGTGGAGGCACAAATATGGGCACCAAGGAGAATCAGCAACCCAAGAAAAATGGATGGCACCACCGTGTCAACCACCAGCAATTACCACGTTCTTGACATACTTTATTAAGGTACTTGCCTGTGTCTTTTAATCAAGCTATTGGGGGCAACCACACCATTTTTTACTGCTATTTTTTCTGTCTTGATAACTTGCAACAAAGAACTCGCTTTCTTAATAACCTTTGCCCGTGGTTTTTGGGATTGTTGTGGCCAGTAATAGTGAGCATTTGTTTCATTTATTGGGGTTCTTGGTCTGTGTTGGTTCAACTGCTGCACGTGCTTTCAAATCTGTGGTTCAAGGGATTTTGTTAGCATCAGAAGCTGAGAAGTTACATTCTAGGCGAGAGGTGCCAAAACCCGCGAATCACTTCTTCATTCCCTCTCTGCAGCTCCACAACTAGAGAGTGCTACAGAGAGCAAGTACTGTAGACAAAGCCAAAGTAAAGAGCCCTTTGGAGAGCATCAATGCTGCGGGTAAAACATGTATTCTGCTAGCTATTATAGCTAAAGAACTTAGTCAGAGAACAACAATGAGGATGCTCTTAGAGCAAGGAAGACCTCTTTTTTATTGGAGTCTACATCAAAGAAAAATAAAAGGGTCTAGTCTACATGAACAAAACGAAGAATACAATTTAATTTGTTGCTGCAACTGATACGTTTTTTTTAGTGCACTACCGACACTTTTTTCTCACCAGGATAAAGCTTACTCTATATGATGCTGCTATTTCCAGGGCAAACAACAACATTAAACTATTTGTTATTATCCTCATTATATAACAATTCTTATGTTTTTTATTTTCTGTTCAGAATATTCAGTCATTTTTATTTTTTTCCCAAATCATGCCATCTAAATCTGGGTCCTTTTTATGATCATCATGATTTCAACAGACATCATGTAGGCAAAAATGAAAATCAAGGCAAGTTTTCTTTTTCTTTTTCTCTTTATCCTTCTGACAGATATTTAATCAATTTAAACATACATCATCAAACCTAAAATCAACATCAACTTGAGGATCGTTGCCATCTGGAAGAAGCATCAAGGTCAATATAGTCATTTGATTTTTTGGTGGATCATATATGTAGTGATGAGGGGATCCATGGGGAACCCTGTTGATGTTTTTAGTTTCTGTCTAAAGGAACACTACAGAGACTAATTCACAGGAAAGAAAGGTCAGCAACTTGTTTATGATTGCATACCTAACTGGTTGATGGTGAAAAAAAAAGTTTATGAAACTATAGCTATGTATTTTTCTAAGAGTGGTAATGTCTGCGGTCATATCATTATCATAGCAATCATCATTTCAAAATAGGAATGACTCAATTTCAGTAGAGTATGTGCATGAGCAGTCATGACAACAACAGTGGAATGAATCAATGGCAACAAAAAAGAGTATGTGCATGGGCAGCCATGACAAAAACAAAGTTATTTGATGAAAAATTAGATAGAACTAGGACGAAGTGTATAGAAAAACCTTTATAGAGCTGCTGCAGAATGTTTTTGTTTCTTGGTGACCAGCCTTGATTCATCAGGGGATTCAGGAGAAGAGGTAAGTTGTTCAGTCTCTACTGGAGTTTGAATAGCATCCTTGACTTCAGCATGAAGAAGTTTGTTGTTGGGCAAAACGTGTTAGGTAGAGAAATCAAAGTGCAAAGATTACAGGACAAACAGTTGTTGTCTGCAAATAAGCGAAACCATGTACGACTTGTATCGAATGGGTCCATAGCAAAGTCTAGCTTTCTCTTTGAATCTAAAGAGCTAGCTTCTTTTAGCATGGTAGGGTGCAAAGAAGAAGATGAACTACCAGCATGTGCTGCAATGGTAAACCATTAGCTAACGTACTAAAGAGCTAGCTTCTTTTAGCATGGTAAACCATTAGCTAACGGATAAAGGAAGACCTTTTCAACAACCTACGCATGTATTTCAATCCACCAAGTAACCACATCTAAAAACAAAACTTGGACGGAAAAGGGGGAAAAAAGAGTATAGATCTAGTCAAATACACTTGTATTTGTTGAAAAACATTGTGCAAGTTAACAAGCTAGTAAGAAAATCAGTACTAAAAAACAACAATAAACTGACTAATTAATCGGTTATTTTCTAAAAAACAGCAACCGACAAAGCTATTGTAAGTGAAAAAAATCATTTAACATAGTTATGAAACCCAGAGGAATAATGAGAATCAAATGCGACAAAGCCATTGTAAGCTATCATAAGTATAGAATTGGAAGTAAAGACTAAAGAATAAACAATTCTAAATTGATGAAGCTGTTTATACTATTAATTGTATATGAATAAATATGTTCAAGGGGGAAATCACCATAAAAAAGAGTGCCAGAAGCTTGGCAATGAAAATAACAAAATCAAGTAAAGAAAAAAATTGTAATGATGAATATTTTCCATGAGAGACCAATAGACAAACTGAATGATTTCATCATGTAATATGAGGATCTTAGCAAATCCACAATCAAAGGTCAAATCCATACCCAGCATGATCTTTACAAAAGCAAATTGGCCCAACAATAGAACTATATGGCCTTTACAGAAACTTTTCCTGCCAGAGCCAGTCTTTTTGCTAGCTCTATAATTTTTTTCGGCAGATAGCAGCAGGTCTTTGTTTAACAATGTCATGTGCCTGTTACAAAGTAGCTCTCGTGTCCAAATATGATTGTTATACCCAAATAAGAGAAAGAGATGATTTTGCACCTTTTTAAACATGGGAGGAAAAAAATCGACCAAAACCTCCACTGCCCAAGCAAAGAGCATAGCCCTGCACACGAAACCTTTCTCAAAAAATGGCCTGAGCAGGTTCCAAAAACAAAGACGCTACATCAGACCTACAAAGCAAGTCAAAAAAGCTCCATGCATCAGGTAAAGGTAAAACCCCAAGATACTAACACAAATGAATCATGTATACAAAAGAAGAACCGTCGAAGAACGTCCTACGGTAGAGATTGAAGCTCCCCCCCATCAAACACTAAATCATGCCATCACAGGATCTCGAAACCCCACAGAGCATTTCCTTCCTAAAAAAAATGACATAAACACTACTGGCTAGCCTAACAAACGAGCAGGCTTCACCACAACATTGAATAACCAAACAACAGACCACAAAGAAATAGCATGGGAATACCCAATGACTAGGATAAAGCAACATCGAATAAAGAGAGAAAAAAATTAAAAATCAAAGGTGTTCAGGAAAAAAAAAGGCCAGAGCATGGGGGGAAAACCCACCAAGAATCTTGAACAAACAGGGAAAACAAAAATTAACCCCTTGCAAAGCAACAAACAAGAAGAGAATAAGCAAAACAGCAGAAACAATCCAGAAGCAGGGCAGGAAGAAACAAACACCCAAATAACATAGAACGCTAATAGAAAAAAACACTGGAAGGCGAAGCATGCAAAGATAATCATTCGAACCTGGTAGACAACACAGATGAGCAGAGGATAAAAGAGGATCCTGTAAGGACTACGGACACCAGCTTTCTCCACATTGGTATGATATTGTCCACTTTGGGCCTAAGCCCTCATGGATTTGCTCTTGGGTTATACCCAAAAGGCCTCATTTCAATGGAGATATTTGTCCATCCTTATATACCCTTGATCCTCCCCATTTCTAACCAATGTGGGACTTTGGTCGCATACCCAACAGATCCAAGACCCTCGAACAGATGAGCAGAGGATAAAAGAGGATCCAAGACCCTCAATAGACCCTGGAAAAAAGGTCAAAACTGCTTAAAGTAACAGCAAAAAATTGAGTTAGAATGCAACAGTAATCTGAGCATAGTTTGCCTTTTTATCAGTTCTCCTCGGCCTATTCTTGGATAGGCCTCCATCCCCTTCTAATTGATAACCATTCTCCTTCCTTTCCTTACTCTTCACCTCTTCATTTCTCAATTCAGTTTCCTTCTTTCCAGCAAACCTTTCACTGTCTTTGTCTCCTTCGCCTTTTTTCTTCATTTTTAACAAACTTCACCTTATCCTTTCCCCGAACACCCATTTATCCAATCTCTTTCCATTCCTCATTATCCATCCCTTGATTCCTGAACTGACCTCCCGTCTTTCCCCTCTTCCCATCAAATTCTCATTCCTTTCTAATTTGATATATTTATTTAATAAAATAAATTAAAAATTATGTGCGATAATAATCTTTATAAAGAAATTTTAATACTAATTAAAAATTAAATTGTTAAGATAAAAAAAAGATACAAATTAAGATATTTGATTTTATAATATAATACAAATTAAAATAAATATCTTTAAAAAAATTAATCATTTAAATTTCATTAAAATAAATTAATTTACTAGTATAAATCTTTCTTTTTTTATTAAAATTAAATATTTTTAAGAAGATTAATCATTTAAACTCCATTAAAATCAATTAATTTACTCGTATAAATATTTATTTTTTATTAAAATATTTAATTTTAACAAAAAAATCTTACTTTTTGTTCAAAATCATTTATTTATTAAGAATAAAAAACAATTATAAAACATATTAAAAAAATTACAAATATATATATACACGCACGCACTAAACCCTTTATGCCCCCTTAATGTGCTCAATGCTTCTGCAATTTTTTTTGCACAAAAATTGTATCTTTTATTATATTTCATCCATCTAAAAATAAATTTTAATTATTAACAAAAAATTAACATTATAATAATTTTTATATAAGTTTAGTAAAAAAATAAAAGAATAGTACAATATTTAAGTGTTGACTTATAAAGTTTTAAGTAATATCATTATATCCAACTCAACATGTTAGCTTTAAAACTTTCTAAATTAATATTTAATTTAATTTAAATATCAAATTAAATTATATAAGTATTTAACTAACATGATTAAATTGATTAAAAAAATTAAATAAGCAACTTGGAATACTAACAAAAACTTATTATAAATATAAAAAAATTAAATATAATTTTTTTTTTTAATATCAAGAAAACATTATCTTTTTTTATATAAAAAAAAAAACAAGGTTAAAAATAAGTTAATGTACGAGTTTGAATGGCCATGTATGCCTATCCAAGCTTGTGTACACGACCCTTTTTATTTAAAAAAAATAAACAAATAACACATCATGCTTGTGTGTATGTATAGTCCTGCAAGTCGGGCTAGGCTTGTGTTCGGTGTGCTTTGGATTGGATTAAGAATTTTATCTTATTTTTTGTTTGATAGACACTAGATAGGAGGTGGCCAACATGAGATCTGGACCAATTTTTGATTTATCTAACCTTACCCAGTTAATTATTCAGGTCATTTTACAACTCGATTAATTCAAGATAAAATATAAATAATAAAAAATTTATTAACTTTTTATATATATTTTTGTTCAAAATGTTATTGTTTTAATTTTTTTTTAATATAAGTCAATTCAAGTTGACCCTTCTAACCCATGACTCAAGCCTTATTCCAGATCAATTTTAAAGTCGGGTTTTAAAATTATGATAATAATCACTTTGATTATTTATTATGTTGACCTGAGTCAATGATCAACTTGACTCATGAATCGAGACTGGTTAATCAAGCCTAGCCCCGAGTCGATCTCCAGGTCGAATTTTAAAACTATAATAATAATATTTTTTATCCTGGAATTAATCCTAGTTAATGATCAACCCGACTAATGACCCAAGTCTAGCTCTGAATCACCTCCTAAATCAAGTTTTAAAATTATAATTATAATTATTTTTATTTTTACATTGACCCGAGTCATGATCAACTCGACTCATAATTTAGGTTTGACGTCGAGTTGACCCTTAAATTAATTTTTAAAATTATAATAATTTTTATTTTTATTTTTATTTTTATATACACACTGATGCATTAGATTAACTCTTATGTATATCATTGGATAAACTTATCATCCTTTTTTAGTGAAATAAAAGTTTATCCTTTAGAACAATATAAAAATTGATTTTTATATCATCTAAAAATTCACCGAACAACTTCACAAAATAGTTATTTTATCCTATCTGTCCAAGAGATCAACAGGTCTGGTTTAGGCAAACCCGTGTACTGCCTCACCTAACATTTCCCTTAAGGTGTAAACTTTAGATCTCGTGGTGGAATTAATTTTCAGCCTTGAATATACCCGCGAATATATTGTTGTTTCAGCAAAACGTTTCCATATTGGATTGAGCGCCTCCATTCTCATTTCTGGAACCGTCACACAAGGTATATACCATCCAGAATCAACTAATCCTTGCTTTGCAATTCTAGACAAGGTATCTGGCTAGCAATAAACGAGCGATAAGCCATCAGTTTTGTGCTTGTTGGATCAGGAAGATGTAAACTCTCAAGCACCAAGCAAGCTTTGAGAGATACCTTGCTTCATGTTACGTAGCTCTTTTTCACTTTTTGGATGGCTGTTTATCTTTTCTATTACTTTTGTCATCAAATTACAAGCTTTCCACGTTGATTCCTTGTGTTTTCCATCTTCTCCTTCCTATAAATCCGACGGTTCAACTGGAGTGAGCCCATCAAGTTGGTTCTTCTACAAGAGAAAAACCAACCTTGATAGGAAATCAATAGTTACTTGAGTCTCACCAGCATGGCTACAGATGCCTGCAGTAGTACAGCTAGCCAAAACTCGTCACAAAGAGCATTAGCCATGGTGTTTGCTCTAGCATCAGCAGTGGCCCTGTCACCATTGTATGCTAAGAGAAAATATGATCATCCGCGTTATTTTAATTATGAGACAAAATGGAGCTCTGGCTTCGTTCTTCCAATGGTGCTTGCTGGACTAATAATTGCCATCAGGACCACTTCCTCTTCCATGTCAGCCCGCAGAGTTTCTAGAGCTTCCTTTATTCCATCTCCAGATCCCTCTTGGGTGCTTAGAATTGGGAGCTCATCTTGGGGACTCGCTGGAGTCTTGGTGATGCTTGTGCTTGTGCTATCATGGCAAGACTCTGTTCAAGAATTTTTCTGGAGATGAAGGAAAGGAAACCTGCCTTTTTCTTTTAGAATAGGCTATATATGTTTGCGATTTCCATTGATTGATCATTAAAAAAAAAAGTAATTGTTTGCCCCCACATGTTGCCGAGCATGAGGACGGCCATTAAAGTACCTGGCTGAAAGAATTAAAGGTATCATTTTAAATTTTATATATCACAAAAAAGAAATACATCATCGCCTCCCTGACCCCTCACTCATTCAAAGCATGAATGACATCGCATGCATCTCCAGACCTCCTTCGAGTTAGGATCCTCAAGATCGGGCAGCTCGGCCCTATTCAACTATCTATTGAACTATTTGATCAAATAATAGAACAGTTGTGAGGATACTTGGGGTGAGCTTTTGAATTACTTAAATTACTCAAGTGAAATTGGGTATAGAAGTTTTTAAAAAATAAAATAAAAAATGAATTCAGATAGCTATAAGTTAAGCTCATGGTACCGTGTTTGAATCTTCTTTTTTTTCCATTTCATGCTAATATTTTTTGTATTTTTATTCATCATCAAATCTTAATTATATAAATTAAGAAAATTTTTGTTCTTTTAGTTAAAAAAACATGAATTTCTTTGTTTAAAAATATTTTTTATATTTTTACATCGTTTTAATATAACATGATGTATGGAAATAATATTTTAAAAAATAAAAAATATTATTTTAATATATTTATAAATAAAAAAAATACCAAAAAAGCTAAACATATCTTTCCAATTCAAATCTCTCTTCACTCTCTCCTTTTCTTTGCTCATCCTATCAACTTTTTCTTTTTTTCTTTTTCTTCTTCTTTTCTTTAATTTATTACTGCAAATTGATTCGATTTCTTTGCTCATCCTATCAACTTTTTCTTTCTTCTTTTTCTTCTTTTTTTTTTAATTTATTATTGCAAATTGATTCGGATAATTATTGCCCGGGTTCCCGGTCTCACCCACCCTTGTGGTCATGACTCGCGCCATCTCTCACACTCCTGCCAGCCGCCGGGTAATTCTTGTCATGTATATTTATTTATCAGTTTATAAATGTATATTTACCATGGAATATAAATTGTGATGTGCATGATTATTGTTATTATTAATTTAAGGCTTACGTGTTCGATGTAAAAGTGGATAAATGGCTGTAATAAATTACATGAGCAAAAACATGTAATATGTTATAAAATATGATGGATGAAATAGTGGCAAGATAGTTATAATTTATTGTTAACCACAACAACATAACTCTATGTATGATTTATTAGTAATTATAACAACGATGATCTTGTGAGATTTATGTTTGATAGCGGTGACACTAACAAATATCTGAAAATATAAACATTAAGAACAATAACATAATTAAAATGTAAGATATTAACTGATAAATGAATAGTATCGTGAGGTGGGTGTTTAACACCTTGATGCTTTGATTCGAGAAAGTTATTAAAGTAAGTAAATATAAGTGTTTGAAATGAAATAGTTTGTAATATCATATGAAAATAAGTGATGAAACTAGTGACATGATGATGAGATTAATGCCTATTAATAGACAATAAAACTGCAAATTCAGTGATGGGATTGGTGCCCAATAATGGATAATGAAATTAGTGCCCAGTAATGAGATAATAACATCAATTGTCTAACTACTAGGATATTAAACATATTCTATCAAGTGAAGCATAGGCACGAAGTACACATGAGTTGGGAATGATGAGCTTGTAATTGTTATTGAAATCAATCTAATGAATCAAGTGGTCGTGAATAAGTTTTAATTCTTACAAGTTTGTACTACATTTTAATACAACAAAACAAAATAAATGTCAGGTTTTTGTTGGGTTTTTATCATACGGAGTCCATGAGTATAGCATTGTCTTGTAATTTAAAAATATAAGTATTATTAATATTAAATTGAACTATATATAAATTTTGAGTTGTGTTGATATAGGATAAGGTTTAGAATAAGTGGATCATGATTATGTAATGAATTACAGTAATAATTTGATATAGCCTAAATATAAAAGGAAATTTTGCTAGGATTTTTGATAGAGTTATACATTAAATTAATTTAAAAAGGGGATTGGTTCGGACTATCATCCAAGTGGTTAATAAAGGCAATTGGCCAGCCATCCATTAGCAAAAAAAAGATTATATGAAATTGAAT